ATAACTTAATATTTTAGCAGTTCCCATGCATGTCTCTTGTTGTAGTACATTTTGAATGGCTTAGAAAGCTGAAAACAAGCACCTTTCTGTAACTTATAACTTGTAACATGATGAAGCCCTCCAGATAGAGGGCGAAACGTGTCTATAAAAAAGAAACTATCCAGATGACCTGACTGAGAATTATTAGATTTGATACCTGGATGATTGAGCATGAACTTTGCTAACTTGTAACATGCTTTTAGACTAATTACCTAATCATCATATGGAACACAGGTTATTTTATTGACTAACACATATTCACAACAGTCAGCTCAGGAGGTGGATGATGTGTTCTTTACTCTGTAGCCATGTTAACAAGTTGCTTTGTGCTTTTGGGTTTAAAACTACATTCACAGTTCAAGTGGGCCAGAGCAGTGTTTACATAGTCCCACACTGCCTGCCAGCCTTCCATGTAAAGCATTAATTGTGTTGATTTATTTGAACCTCATATGGAAAACCCTGTGTACACACATAATATGGTTTTGCCAAGTTGAAACAAAAATGTCGACATGGTTTATGAGTATTTGAACTTTATTGCAACCTATTTAATTGACTTACTTCAGATAAACACATAGCTTTTAATAGAAGAATGGTCTAAAATGTGTCTTTTATTTACAGCTTTTTAGTTGTGATTTAGGGTGCATTCACACCAGCCCTTTTTAGTCCGCTTTAATCGAACTCTAGCTTGTTTTCCTTGAAAGTCCGGTTCGTTTAGGGAGGTGTGAACGCGCCATCGAACTCTGTCACGGAACAAAATGGCGAACTCTGGCCCGGGCTAAAACCTAGGTCTCGGTCCGGTAGAAGCGAACTCCAGCACGGTTCTAGTGCAGTGTGAATGTAAACAGACCGAGCCCCGCTCCACAGGATAAACAAACACGCATTTCTCTTACCTTATATGGAGCCGTCAGCTACCTTGTGTGGAAAACAATATTCTCCATGGTCTTCTGTCTCATCTTCTGCTCATGCTAAGTCCATTTTTGAAAAATTACAAAATATAACTCCTAAAACTGCTAAAACTTGATGCCACTTCGTTTTTATTTTTATTTACAGAAGAAGAAGAAGACGTGTCTTCAGAGGTTTTTGTGTCGTTTCTTTCAGTAGTTCTTGGTGCAGCGCCCCCACAGGCGAGCGGGGGAATAGGTTGGCTCAACAGGTTGACTCGACTGCACAGTGCAGTGTGAATGCAAACGCACCAGCTCAAATGTAAACAAAAGCTCATGAATATTGGTCCCGAACCGAACCGAGTCGAACCGAGTCTACCGGACTATCTAGTGTGAAAATGACCTAAATCATTTTCTCACAAACCACACAAAAATGCTTCCAGAAGTAAAAGAAAAATTCCTATCAAATATGAACAGCATTCACCGAAGTACAAACAAGTACAAGAAGTCACAGCAAAATTACTCAAGTAATATTCACAGACATCATACAAAGTTTTGATGTTTTTTGGTGTTTTTTTTTTAATTTATTTATTTTTGGCATAAATAGTTTTTGGAAATGGTTGAGTATGGGTTCTAGGGTGTTTTCTTTCTGAAATGAATTATGAACAGGGAGTCCTTATTGATTTACTGTTGGAGAAGTCAACGGGGATTGCTAAGAATGCATAATTTAACACAGAATAGTCAGTGATACTGTAAAACCATGATTTTAGCCTCATCATTTCAGTCTTCTGCAGTAAACTCCTTGTAGAGTATGGCCTCATTTGCAGCAGTTTATTTGGGACTGTAGCAAGCTTTTTCAAACACTGCCTCGCTCAGCATTTAATCCCAAGTGAACTGCTCTATATTCCTTCACGTCTTTTTATGCCACCTGTCTTGAAGCTAGAAAATAAAACCTTCTTACAATAAAGAACTTTGCCGAGAGAAAATGATAATTCAGATGAAAGTGCAATGTGACACTTGGAATTACCTACAAATCATCAGGTGGGATTCTTTTATGCATTTCCAAATCACGGCGGTGCGCAGCATAGAAACTTCAGCCAGACTGCCACAACTTTCTCACCTCATTGCTGGACCAATAACACCCCCCCCCC